TCGGTTGACATGCAGCTGTATGTGTTATCACCCGTTTTCATCTACGCCACACACAGGTAATCGAACTAAACGCCTCAACCTGCATAGATCACTAGGTTTAGGTATACCCGCTAATAATTATGTGATAATAATATTTAAACTTAATCTATATCGTGAGAGAAACTTTTCTTTACACCCTACAGTAATACATCGTTACTTTGATTTTTGATATGACTTTTTCAGTTCCTGACCACCATTCGAGCTACCCATGTTTCGGAATAGATGAATCGAACTACCAATATTTCAGAATAGTCGAATCGAGCATCCATTATTTTTTAATGATTTAATTGATTTTACAGAATTATGAGGGAAAAATTGGTTCCAAATTTAAATTGGCAAAAATCTCTGAATTATAAACCCTATTTGATTAGTTCTTACTGACAGTCTGATATCCAGGGTTGCTTAACATCCGTATACTTACTGCCAGTCTGACATGTGTGATCTATCTTTGCATTGTGATCGCTCATTGTATTTGTGATCTGACACTGTATTTGTGATCTCACATTGTATATGTGATCTCTCATTGTATTCTTATATAATGAAAAAATTAATGAAATATTAAATAAATAAAATATTTGAGAAGAATCTGTCATTTTGTACTTAACTTTCGGTACTTCATTACATTACATGTTTTGAAAACTTAGCCTACTTACTTTATTCGTAAAACCTTCTCTTCCGAACTAGCTTCTTCCTTCTTCATAAAACCGATCATTCAGTTCTCTTTCAGTCAACAATTCAATTTTTGAATTTTAAAAATTATGTATATATTACATAGTGGGAATAACAATTTTAGAAAAGCTCAGGTGGGGTATGCCACAAAAACGTTTGGGAAACACTGCTACTTAGAGACAATACAACTAGGCATTGGTGGATACATGGAGCGCCATCCAGGAAGGTCATTTGGGTAGGGGGCATTTGCAGGTTTTATTTAAATTGCTATGTATTGTGGCGCCTCCATTAATAAACAACTTAACAAGCCGACCAAGTTTTGTTTCTCCCCCAACCTCCCCCCCCCAAAAAAAAAAAACAACAACAACACTTGAAATGAGGTCATCTGGAATTATATGATTATAATACATTATGCCCCTCACCCCGTAGTTTACACGTGCAAGGTGGCTGTGTTGCCCCAGCTCGTATTTTGAATACATCATAAAAGTAATTCATTTTTTCACATTACATCTAACACAGGAGCCGTAAGATAGGTGTGGCTCTGCTGATCTCCCTTTGTTGTACTGGAATAGTATGTGCCTTCATTGCCGAGTATCTGAATGGTGGACAGTTTGTCTTGTAAGTTTCATATTCATATATTTATATATATATGTGTATTTTAAAGGTAATTACTAACAAGATTTAAAATTTACTTTTTTTCAGTGAATATATTAATATCCTCATAACACATATAATCTGTGTGCAGTCCACCCCCAGTCAACCCACCAGCCCACCCCAGTCAACCCACCAGCCTACCCCCATTCAACCCACCAGTCCACCCCACCAGCCCAACCCAAGTCAACCCACCAGCCTACCCCCATTCAACCCACAAGTCCACAACAAGTCAACCCACCTGTCCACCCCCAGTCAACCCACCAGCCCAACCCAAGTCAAGCCACCAGCCCATCCCCAGTCAACCTACCAGCCCACCCCCATTCAATCAACAAGTCCACCCAAAGTCAACCCACCTGTCAGCCCACCAGTCCACCCCCAGTAACCCACCAGCCCATCCAATGTCAACCCACCAGCCTACCCCCCATTCAACCCACAAGTCCACCCCAAGTCAACCCTCCTGTCCACCCCCAGTCAACCCACCAGCCCAACCCAAGTCAACCCACCAGCCCATCCCCAGTCAACCCACCCCCATTCAATCCACAAGTCCACCACCCCAGTCAACACACCAGCCCAACCCAAGTCAACCCACCAACCCATCCCCAGCCCACCCACCCCCATTCAATCCACAAGCCCACCCCAAGTCACCCCACCCCCATTCAACCCACCAGCCCACCCCAGTCAACCCACCAGCCCACCCCCAGTCAACCCACCCCCAGTCAACCCACCAGCCCACCCCAGGTCAACCCACATCGAGGTTGTGACGACATTTAAAATCAGGGTGAACAACTCAGATACAATTGAAACTTCTGTGACAATGTTAAGCCTAACGGTACTTTTAATGAGATGTCGTCACAGTATTCAATTGAAGGGACGCTACACAATTAATGTTACGTCTAATTAAATTGTCACTACCGGTACATTAATTTAAGCACCTCCCCTATCATCGTATTCTTCCTACTTTGGGCAAAATCTTGACTCATTCTAAAATCTTGACTCATTCTAAGTGTTTGAGATTAAGGCGTGTGTACAATCATAAGTTGATGTCGTTGAGGTCATAGTCCAATAAGCATGCTTAACAAAGAAATGATTTATTTTTTTTAAAGATTAACACCATTTTACATTTTTGTATACAATGTCCATTGTCTCTTTTCCAGCAGTTATATAGCTGACCTGCATTATGTCTCTGTTCCAACAGTTATAAAGCTGACCTGCATTATGTCTCTGTTCCAACAGTTATAAAGCTGAGCTGAATTATTTATTAACTTTGTCATAGAATCGGTTCTAATGATAACTAGACTAACAGACGCCTATAAGATAATTTGACCTTAAATTGTTAAATCAGGGGGCGCCAACCTTTCTGAGTGAAGAGTCATTTTATTAACTTTATCTCCTGAAAACAAATATGTAGGGATCCGCAGTCAGGGACAGTTTTTCTCTTGACTGAATAGAACCGTTTAATAGTGCAATGAACCACATGCGGTTCAGGGACCTTGCGTTACCGATCAGTTTCTTCAATGCTTCAAGTTCTCTTTCAAACACATACTGCAACCCATCTTTTTGAACTTATCAGGATGGATCTTCGTTTCCTGGAGTACTGGAGCTACGTGTACACGATGCCCTATGCCCGAGTGGCGGCCTACAGTGTTGGCATGTTACTGGGGGCCGTCACCTACGATTACAAAGGGAAGCCACTCGTTCCAAAGGTAGGTAACGAGGGTTTTGGTGTGAATCAGGAAAAAGTAATTTGCGTTTATTTTTTAACCAGTGTTTTTAAATAAAAGCCTTGTATCATACAATCAGGGTTATAAGCCTTGTATCATACAATCAGGGTTATGTTAAAATGAAATCCTTGTATCAGGTCATCAGCCTAACCAATGCCAATGCATTTTAAAAAAAATATGAATTTGATAATTGAATTTAACATTCAGTATCGGTATCTCATTGTTATTAAAGATATACTATACTATACTGTATAAGCCTTGCATCAAACTTTTAATTAAATACAAAAGTTTTTAAGTTTAAAAAGACATAAATTGTTTAGTGTTTACCCGAATTGGAAAATTGCAAGCCAGTTTGGAATAAATTTTGAATTCTATTATTACAAACCCAAAACTACTACCAAGTCCAAGCCTACTTAGCTTTTTCTACTCCCAGCAAGGGGACATAACTCTATTTTAAAGGAAGGTTCTTAATCTACTTAATTTACGGTACAGAAAATAAAAATACCTTAATACAAATAAATGAACATACTGTATTGTTGTTTAACTTTGAGAGAGGGAGTCCAAACAGTTTTCTTATTAAAAATTACAGAAAATTGAAAAAAAAAAAAAAAAGGATTGCCTGCATGTTTTCCTCTATCAACCCCATTACATTTCATTTCCTAGTTTCTGGTGGAACTCTTCAAAGCAGACACCCTTACACAGGTGAATTTGGCGAAAATCAAAAAAAAAAAAAAAAAAAAAAAAAAAAAAGTGTTTTTTGTTGTTCTTTCTCCCCAAGTGGCTTGTTTTTTTTTTTTTTTGTCTGCCCAAAAGTCTCATCAGCTCATGTTTAAGAGGATAATGGCTGTGCTGTTGCTGCAACTGAAACTATGTGTTTCTCCTCAGCTGCTGATGAGCCGAAAAGCTTAGAAATCCTGACAGTTAACTCTAGGCGGAACTGTACATGGTCAGTGGCTCGATCACTTCTCTTTTGTTGCAGAGTGGAAGGTTTCATGGTCTCCTTCATAATGGTGAAGGCATTGATAACTCCCACTTGTACTAGGAACCGAAGACCATACTTCCATAATTTCTTGGATTTTCTTCCTACAGGGTAGTAGGATCTGTACTGGTCAGCCAAATCCACACCACCCATATGCCTTTAGTAGGTGAGGATGTGCTGAGGAATAGCCACATCTCTGGGTCCTCCCTTTGATCTCCTACTCACAGTTACCACAACACTCTTGTGTTTGTTGACAAAATGGAAACTTGTTGCTTGTCATAGCATGTTGATAAATTGTTGCCAGCAAAGTTGTAAAAAGCAAACGTCCCCAACTTTCATTTTTTCAGCACATAGTGGCCACCCCTTCCTGGTCATGCATATCGTTGCACACGAATGATGCTTGCAGCCAGCAAATCCTCTGCAAGTTTGATACATGAGAAGTAATTGTCAAAGTAATCTTTACCCCCTGTAAAATAAAAATTACACATATAGCCTTTGTGGGGGGTCAGCAATACACCAAACCATGATGCCCTATGGAGTTGGCTTGGCTTTGATTTTTATATTTTGTTTGAAGTACAATCTCCCATTGAAGATAGTTTTAGCCTCATCAATGTTGAGCTCCTTTCCAGGATAATAGTTTTCCTGACTGTTCTTATAATAAGGTCCAGATGGGGGTCTAATTTTAAAGAGGGGAAAAAAGCCTGGCCGTCTCTTAGCAACAGCATTGTTGTTATCATTTAATATGTAAATTTTCAAAGATACCGGGTACCATTAAAAAAAATCAATATATTTATGAACTGTTATATTTACATATTTTTTTTCAAACAAAGACACTCTTCTCATTTTCTATGTCTGATATTTTTAATATGACTACATTAATAGTGGCACCAGTACACAAACAGAAAAACAAAATCTAAGAACAAAAAAAATGTAAAAAGCAAGCATCGTTTAATGTTCATCACCATCACCACCATCACCACCACCACCATCATCATCACCATCATCATCACCATCACTACCACCACCATCATCATCATCCCTCTTGTGAAACTCCAGGAGACAGTTTCTATTTCCATTTAAGCATAGGAAAGTATTACAAACATAGCATTTGACCATACTTTTTTTCTGCATACCTCTTATGTAGCACAGCTTACAATTTCTATATAAACTTGTGAGTTCTGGAACTATTGGATGTGTACACGTGATGACAGGAATAGGGTTTTCTTTGAAATTTTTTAAAATCCGCATTTTAAGTAATTTAAGTTTCTCATTCTCGTCAGAAAGGTCTTTTGTCCACAAATGGAATTTTTTTTTAGAAACCGCTGCATTTCCATTGATTGGTGGTTTTATGTTTTGTAATGTGTCTTGCAACGTAAGAGACTTCGGTGAATAGAAATGTTCGGAGGAAACGTTATGTACGGCGCTATTGTCTGGAAAATGTACCCTTTGGATGGGGGCATGTGGTGGAGCATTATTTTGTAAATTGACACATTTAAAATCTGCTGCTTTGGAAATAATATTTTGTGATTTAACAACATAAAGGGCCACTGGTGCGATCTGCTGTGGTAACATATTTTGAGGAACACTCAAAGTCTGGGACATCACTGGTGATTTCTTAGCACCAGTTGGCTTTGTTGCTTGAACTATCTTCGCCTTGTTTATTTGTTTTGATGTCTTAACGAGACGAAAGGACCCATTTGCCCCTGAACCCTTAGTCTGTATGAGATTTCCATCATGAACACAAGCTTTTAGAGCAAGCTTTAGCTGGTGGTTGACAGCTGTGTGATTCTCACCAAGATTGTAGTAGGAAGTGATGTATTTGAGAATTTCCTGGCGTGATGAGCCAGTCCGTTTCTTGTAAACTTTAATAGCAGCAGCGATCATTTCTCTGTATTTAGGGCGGATAGAACTTGAGCAGACTTCAGACATGACAATCTGCAGTGATGTAAAAACTGGTAACAAGAGAACAGCAAATATCCGTTTGCAGATCTTGAAATAGAAAAATATCAATAAGAATTAGTTGGGGCTTGTTTTATGGATGCCGTAGAAATTTTGCAAAAAAAAAAAAAAAAGGTTGCATGTATTTTTCCCAGTTATTTTCTGTTCTCACAACTACAAGTCAGATCAATTTTATTTCCCCAGAAAAATTGTTGCTAATACTTTGAAAGGACCGAAGATTAACGAATGAACTTAACATGTTACCCCTGGTAATTTGAGTCAAACAAAGACACACTTTTAATGTTTAAAAATTATCCTTAATAAGAGAGAGCTTACCTGTACAGTACATACAATATTTTTACATATTTAAAAATTTGCTAATCAATCAATTTATGTGTAAATGATAAAAGAATGATTGATTTTGATTGTTAGGAAAAAACGCTACTTTGTTTATAGTTTAATAATTAATAGGTTAATAATGTAGTAATGCTATTAGTATTAGTAATTCTACTAATATTATATTAACTTGTTCCAGTTCTAGATCTTAACACAATCATTTTATCAAATGTGTATTATTTATGTCACTTCCTCTTTGCTTCTAACTTAATAGTTTAATTATAGGCTATAGCTCTTTACTGATACTAATACTCCTATTAGGCTTTAAGTATAAGCCAGTAGTAGGACAGACCTTATTTAAAATGTAAATTAGAGACCTAGTTATAATTATTATTATTTACAGGCAGTGGTAGTTTTCATATAGATTATTGACTAAATGATTGGTTAGCTGAGTTTTTTTTAGCAATAAAAAGACTATATACTGAAAGCAGGTATTTAAAAAAAAATCCTTTATGCAGTTAACAGCTAGCTTGAACAGTGGACCAATAAAAGAGATAAGCTGAAAGTAAGCCACACAAAACTAGATTATTTTTCAAGAAACCTGAAGGTTAAAAAATGTAAGTGTGTGATATCCACATGAAGCGGAACCTTGATTGCAAGTGCTTTTTAACAGCAGCCGAGCTTGATCAAAAAAAAAAAAAATCAGGCATATGTTCTGCTCCAGCATTGCAAACATGCTAAATAAACAGGCTAAAGGAGAAGTTAACTTAACCAGAAAGCATGGGCAGGAACATCATTCAGGTTGTTTTCAGGGGAACATCATTCAGGTTGTTTTCAGGGGGGGGGGGACTTGACCAGTTTGTTGAGTTGTTTATTACTGGGGGCGCCACAGTGCATGGCAATTTAAACAAAACCTGCACAATCAGGGGGAAAAATACACTCTGCCCTACCCAAATGACATCCCTGGGTGTGGGAGGTAGTGCCATGGGGTGCGAGGGACCATGAAAACTTAAGTTTATTTTAACTGTTTTTTAGCAACAGAAATTTTTTTTTGTGGTGAATTTGTTTGTGCAATATTTGTAATGGTGCATTGTTTCTTTTAAATATTTATAGCAAGTTTTTTAAACTATTCATTAAAGAAGGAAAACTACCGGTGAATTTTAAATACAATACTATTTATTATTTATTCTGAGGGGGAAGGTGAGGGAATTGTTGTGAAATCGAGAGGGGCTATCACACTGAAAAAAAGGTAAAGAACCGATGGGTTAGAGTAGAGGGTATTTCACTTTTCAGGGAGTAAGCTTATGCAGCTATACCCTACTACCTAACTTTTATGCTGAAAGGCAGTTAGCAGCAGGGCCGGTGATATCTCCCATGGTTTATAGCTCATGGAGGTTTCCCATGTCAACTACCGGCCATAGTTCTGTTTCTCAAAATATTTAAAAATTTACTTCTGTATTTAATTTATTTACCATATTTGGTTTTTTTTACCTTCATTTTAAAAATTTTTTTGTCTCTTATTTTTGTATATAAATTGTGAGGTTATAATTATAAAATTATGTTGACATGTCTCATTAAATTGTGACATTATAATTATATAAATGAGTGGCATACTGGTATTCTGTTTTCAACCAATCAAAATAACAGCACTTTTACTATCTTTTTTCCCATGATCATCTTTGGGTATCAGCAATGATGATTTTCTCTTTTTATTTCTTTTGAAACTTGTAAGTTAAGTTTAAGTAAAAAACCAAATATTGAAAAATCATATTTTAACTTATTTCATATAAACCGTGTATCGATCATCAGATTAAGTTTTTGACTGTTAATAACACTCAGTGAAAACGGGAAAGAAATTATATTATTCTCTTCCTTCAGGTCCAACTGTTGGTCCTGTCACCTTAAGTTAGGGTGACCAAACATCCAGTAAAAACAGGATTGTCCCGTTTTTTTCACAATCGCAGCCAGTGTTCCGAAAAAGTATCTCGGACGCCTAAATGTCCTGTTTCTAAAACCAAACAAATTTTCAAATCACTAAAACTTCCTGATTTATAATATAACTTCAAGTAATATTTTGGCTAGCTGTATAGCCTGTGCCAGTAGTGATGTGGGCTTGTGTGATTGCTGCACTGTTCCCCATCCACCACTCTGCCGATGCTGAGTAAACGACAGTGTCCCTGCCGTAAATCTTATATTAAAAAATAAGTATTCACTGCAAAATTATTGTTTTCGTTTATGATATGCCTCAGATAAAAAAATAATTCTCTAAAAATAAACAAAGGGAAGTGACTCCCGCACGTAAACACCCAAAAGACGTCGTGGCATTTTATCTAAACTATCTTAATTTCAGCCTTAAGTTACAAAAGTGAAGGTAAATTTAAAAATATTCCTAGGAATCAAAATAGTTATTATGAATAATAATGAGCATATTTCAATAAACAGTTTCCGTAAGGTTGACCAAAGTTGACTAGCGAGAAAGACGTAAGTCCGAACCATCGGCCCTATAAATCGAGCCTCACGATTGGCTGGCTTGGGGTTGTACCAGGGAATCAAATATATTCGTACGTATTCCTGCACATCCCGGCATTGTAGTGGCGCCGTTCGTTGATGGTGAACTAGATTTATTTGTGTGCAGGAATTTTTTTTTGTGTGTGTATAGTTATATCGTGAAATTCGAACATGTCTGACAGTGACTCTGATCAAAGTGTGCTTAGTAATTTTGATATTCTAGCAGTGAATCTGACACTGAAACTGATGAAAACAACCAGTAAATTAATGAAGACTTTCAAATTGAGGGTAATGCTAATGAAATGTTGTGAACTCTTGGTTTCGTATTACTAGTTTTAGGGGTCATCAACTGGGCATTTTTAGACAACATAGGTCCTATAAATAAGGCATAAGCACCCCATTTGACCATTTGAATACTTTATGCTATTTTTTATATTAAATATCACTCAAATGTTTATGAGAGAGACCAATAGATATGCAGACAAATTTCTCAGTAAAAACCAGCTTAAGAGAGGGTCCCTAGGTCATAAATGGGGCCTGTTACAGTGTGTCTGTAACAACTGAAAAATAGGGTGGGGGGATGGAAAAGGAGTAGTATTGTGTGCCATATGTATCTGAAGGGCCTCCATGGGCCTTGCTTCCCAAAAACATAGACATAAGTGTTAGGACTTATTTAGGCTTCATCCATAAAAAAATTCACACAATTGATACAAGTAAGTCATGTTTATTCTAGGTCTTAACAAAATATTACAATTACATGCATAAATTATGCAAATCAGATTACCTCATTTGCATAAATTGTAATATTTCAGGTTGATTCATAAAGATTGTATTAGTTTAGTATAATTAGTTCATTCAGTTTCCTACAAGACTACAAGAACATATTTACATATATTAAGGAAAATGTTTATTTATTATAAATTTGTTTGCAATGCGAGTGCCGAGCTCGTAAAAAGTGGTCCGTCTTTTTGGCACATTCACCCCGAAAAGGCTCTGTCCTAAGAGGGTTAAGTATAAGTTAACTAAGTACAAAAAGCATGTCTCATTTAAGTAAAAATAGTCAGTAGTCAGTGCCACTGTGTCACTTGTCGGTAACATTTAGTTGATTTAGCCTACTTCATTTACATTATGCTACTTGTCAGGCAAGTTTATCATCCATAATGTCAAAACGTAACGGACATACCCTACTATAACATGCTCAAAAAGGACCTTTTAGTGGCAACAAAGTCCTACTGCAGTCGTACAACTGATTTCTTTATACATAAACAAGCACCAATTTGCAAAAGGTGCAGCATAACAGTAAACTTATTTTTTTATTAACCAGAGAGTTTCTCGGATTCTCCAGCTACCAACAACTACAAAAAAATAAAAAGAACAGGACAAACGTACACTATAAGCAAAATAAGTTTAGCATTTTAAATCAAAATTTAATTTCAGTTTGATGTAAAAATAACATTTTAGTTCAAATTAAAATTCTAAGTTTCAGTTAGCCTACATTTAAAATAAAGAGATAACTAAAATTAATTTATTGCGTTAAAATAAGATAAGATAAGATTCTTTTATTGATCCAAATAAATGGAAATGTTTTTAATAGGGTATTACCCAAAAGATATAGATATTGTTTGGCATTACTCTAAATTAGTATTTTTAGCAGTGAAGAAGCAAGATATAATCCATCATTACAGAATCTAATGTTTAAGACATCTGTTTAACCACCATGGGCGTTATGTGGGGCAAATGCCCCACCCTGCCCTACCCGTATGACGAGGCTGGAGCGAATAATTAAAAGAAAAACAACTTAAACTGCTTTATTCTGATAAGTCAACATTAGGGCATGGATGGTGAATCTCCCATTAATGTCTTGTAATATTTGTTATCTGCAGTATATGGCGAATCTACTATGGTTGGTTGTAATCGCTATGGGCGTGTTCCTAGTTCTCATAAACCACAGCCAGTGGAAAATGGATTCTGAGCACTGGTCCACCTTGCAGCAGTCCTTCTACGAATCACTGGTCAGACCAACATGGGCATTGTGTGTGGCCTGGGTCATATTTGCATGTAACTCGGGACAAGGCGGTAATTTCTTTTTTTCTGAATATACATGGTCCCAAGATATATATGTATTATATCAGAAATGATGCTAATTAATGTTTATTTATTTAAAAGACAAAAATGTAGGCCTATATTTTATTCATATTTTTGATATCTTCTTTTGCGGTACCACAACTTGATGAGCAGCGTGTAAGTGCATTTTTCAAAGCTAAATCTATCTCTCTCTCTCTCTCTCTCTCTTTCTCTCTCTCTCTCTCCCTCCCTCCCTCCCTCTCTATTTCTCTCTCTCTCTCTCTCTCTCTCTCTCTCTCTTCCTCCATATATAAAATATATTTTATATATATATTATATATAAATATATTTTATTCATATTTTTGATATCTTCTTTTGCGGTACCACAACTTGATGAGCAGCGTGTATGTGCATTTTTCAAAGCTAAATCTATCTCTCTCTCTCTCTCTCTCTCTCTCTCTCTCTCTCTCTCCCTCCCTCCCTCCCTCTCTATTTCTCTCTCTCTCTCTCTCTCTCTCTCTCTCTCTTCCTCCATATATAAAAAAGATATTATATATATATATTATATAAGAATGAGCTGTAGCGGCATAACGCCAAAGAACCGATACGATTTAACTAAGTTCGGATTCCTAAAAACAATCATAGTTATTTTCTATTATTTTACGGAAATCGAATAAATTTAAATGGGCAAAAACATTTTTTAAAATCGCTTTTATTTTAGTAAAACTTTATGTATTATTGTTATAAATTCCAAATACATTTAAAGTATCAACTAATTAACTATTTTAAGCATTTTATCCCAATGTAAAAGTTATGAAAAAAATTATTAATAAAAATATTATGATCTAAGAATTGCATCTTAATCACATTGATCGGGAAAACCCAAACATCAGTTGTTTTTGTGCGTTTTTTAGTGTGTTAATATTGCGAAATAAAATTAAAATTAATTTGTTCTAAAAAAACGCAAATGACGTCATAGCGTGAATCGCCTATGTTAGCCAAAACTCTTAAGTTTCTTTGTAACCGCGCATTCCCCTTCTTAAAAATAAAATAAATAAATATAAATGATTGCTTTTTGAATTGTTAATAAAACATACGCAAATTTTAGATTTGTATTTTTAATATTTAAAATGTTTTTACTTTTTTTAATTCCAAAAATTTAGTTTTATTAAATTTATATCGTAATAAAAACTTAACCTTAAATTATACTTCTCATAAGAAAATGCCGTTTAAGTCAATCAGTGCAGCGAAACCCCATAGCCAAATAGCAATCACTAATCCACTTATAACTCATCCAAATAATAACAAACCATATGAAGAGCGAAATATGCTAGGTAGGCAATGGAAGGGATAACAATCCGGTGGAAGATTTTATTAATTTTATTTAAATCTGTGGTGGAGGGTGGTCATTTTGCCACAGGCAGCACAAAATACTTCTCAAAATAAAGGAATGAATTTGAAAAATAATTAACCGTCTTGGGTAAATACATGTCGGAGGTAGGAAATAGGATGTGTACATTTTTACGTGGCTGACAATATATTTAAATACTATGATATTACATTTTTGAAAAAAAGATGTTACATTCTATTTTTACAAATAAACATGTGTTTACCAATTTATAAAATCAATGGCTTTACCAAAACGTGGGTAAACTTATGTATGTAAATATATCCAGGAATATGAAAGCCAAATCGTTTCACACATTTGAAAATTTAATTTTGAAAAATTGAGATTGCTTAATATTTTCTTCACAAAAAAAAAAATTTTTTTTTTAAATTTTAGAAAATAAAAAATATATTGTTGTTTTTTACTTCGCGAAAAGTAAAGTGGGTGTATATTTCTATGAGAGAGACAATTAAAGAAAAAAAGACACTCAAAGTCTGTTATAGGCGTGAAAATCTTCGTTAGATACAAGAATTCTTTGTTTTGCGATTTTCTGATAATGTTTTTAAAAAAACAAGGCAAAAGTTTGTTAAAGTTTTTGGTGAAGAGATCAACATATTAAAGTCCTTTAATATAAAATATATTTATATCATAAATAGAGTTTTTGATGTAAATTTAAGATTTTGTTTTTTAACAATTTTTATAGAAAAAAAATGTTGTAATTCAAGGGCACGAAAAAGGGTACATCTAAAGTATTTCTCTAGCGTAGAAATCGTTCCTAAAGTAACTTCTTTAGTGACAAAAGTGATACAATTAGTGATAATTTAAATTGGTGAGTTAAGGTCATGTTTAGAGAGGAAAAGTAGTTTAGGGGCGTGAAAGGGAGTAGGGTATGGGTATAATATGTTGCAGATAAATACTTCACAAAACTTAATGATGTAAGAAACGTAAATATCATTACATAGATACACTTTTTTAAAGTTAGGAATTGTGATGAGTTTTTGCAACAGCAGGTAGAAATAATCGTAATGGACCTACTATTATTATCCCGATAACATCGGGTCATTTATTCTAGTGGTTCAATAATGAGTTCAGAAGCGCATAAAATATAGTTCCCGATAACTGCGCTAAATGATATATATTTTTTAAATTAAACACAACTACGTTTTGCGCGTAATATATTTTTTTAAGGAAAATAAAATAGTCTCAATTTTAGTATGATGTAAAAAAAGATTCGGTTTAAAGTGATTGGGACATCAGAATATTTAATATTGTTCATGGATAGGAAATTAAGTGTGCAGTGACGTTTTATAGGGGGGGGGGGAGCAAAAAGTGGGATTCTTAATTATGCGTTACTTGAGTTCATGTTTTGTCAAGTAACTTTAGTAGATGGGAAGTTCACGCATTGCTGTCACCAATCTCTGGTGAGCTATATTATCATTCTAGTAAGCATGGGCGCCCGCAGGCAAGTGCCCCCCCCCCTGGATTGATTGGTTAAAAATTATTTAGACAAAAAATGTATTAAAGTAAAGAGAAAATAAAGAGAAAGTAACTAAGCTGATGTCTGTACGTTCGTTCACCATACAAATACGCTACAGTAAATTAAAACTACATTAAAACATTACTAAACAAAATTTTGCCCCCCCCCCTGGAAAGTTAATCTATTTTTTTTGCCCCCCCCCTCCCCCTCTAGAAAGTTTTTTGCGGGCGCCCATACTTGTAAGTTAATAATATTCTTATTGTGGTTGGAAAAATACGCTACAGTAAATTAAAACTACATTAAAACATTACTAAACAAAATTTTGCCCCCCCCCTGGAAAGTTAATCTATTTTTTTTGCCCCCCCCCTCCCCCTCTAGAAAGTTTTTTGCGGGCGCCCATACTTGTAAGTTAATAATATTCTTATTGTGGTTGGAAAATTTAGAACAATTAAATGTTGAGTGTGTCAAGACTTACCGAAACAATTACAGAAAATCCCCGATTATCCGAACTAATTGGGCACGGGGTGTTTCCAATCAACTATTTTTTTTTGGATAACTGAACACTCCAACGGAAAGTTTGCTATAAAAAGAATTTTATGGATGGAACGTAATAGGCAATATATTCTTAGCTTACCATGTAAGATGCTATATGGTACAGTGTATTTAGTTGTTCATCCTTCACGTGCGAAGGTTATATTACATGGTGAGTACGCAGCAAGATGACCAAGGCAATATTACATGGTGAGTACGCTGGTGGCCTGGCAAGATGACCATTTTTTTTTATTACATGGTGAGTACGCTGGTGGCCTGCCAAGATGAACAAGGCTATATTACATGGTGAGTACGCAGGTGGCTAGCTAAGATGACCAAGTTTATAACACATGGTTGGTACGCAGGTGGCCTGCCAGTACTATTTTCGCCGGGAAAGCTTTCCTGCTCGTAGGACACGCGTTGTTTTTTGGTCCTAATAAGTATGTCTTGGCCGAAAACCGGTAAGAAGCAAACAGATAATAATAATGTTTCAGTCAAGGACCCACATAATTAGCTTGGCAACCCGATTTGATGTCACCTCCCCCTGGGCTGGAAACCTGTAACTTGATTATCCCAAGATGTCAAACTACATTAATATTATGTACCTGGTGCTGTTGTTTTTCTTTTGTCAAATAAACATAGAAAGACATACACATATTTAGATACGACTTGTATTAACATTCCTAATTGTTCATATTTCAGACGAATTCTTTATCATGACAACTTGAAAAATTTGATTATAAATATTTATGGACGAATTCGAAACTAAAATTAATGACCAGTAAAGAATGCAAAAGTCATAAAGTGTTGACGTTTTTACAGGCGCTATATCCAACCTTTGCTAAACACGCTTATAATTAGCTAGCTGTCCATTGCTGGGGATACG